CAATTAAAATCCAAAACAATAAAAACAATAAAAATATAAATATCCATATTAAAATAACTAAGTACAAATCTATATAAAAGGACTATATACATTTCAATGTGATGGGGGGGGGAAGCAAAAATAACCTTTTGCTTGCAGTACAGATCTAGTATGTATTTAGCATCCTGCAGAGCTGCCCATGTGGATTAGGAAGGCTTTTTTCTACTTTGGATTTTATTTTGCCTTATTTTGGAGAGTAATACAGGACTTTCCTTATTGATCATATAATAGACATATATAATAAATACTGGGTATGATGTAGAAAATGAAGTTGATTAAGGAAGTTAAAAAAACTGAATGTCTCGCTTTGTGCAAACAAAAGTACTTTGTACTGGCCATTCTAGATGTAACCATTACGTTTTGCTGGGACTGGGAGAACTTTCAATAGATCAGTTTATTGCTAGTATGCAGTGATCCACATCTGATATTACTTTCTTCAGGGAAACATTATTGCTTGTTATTCTGCAAAGAATGTTTTGCTATAGTGTTGAAAGTGAATATGAAGAAATATTCAAATTTGTGGTTCAAGGCACAACATTATAAATTGCTATTTCTGCTGCTCTTTGGCTGAATATGTGATAAAATAGTTGCTTTTTTTTTTTTTGCAGCTGGGCAGATGCTCAGACACAGATTCAAAACATTGCTGCTTCTTTTGACCAGGAAGCAGCTGCCATTCTTATGGCAAGATTAGCAGTGTACAGGGCTGAGACAGAAGAAGGACCTGACGTGCTTAGATGGTTGGACAGACAGCTTATCAGATTGGTAAGGCATTCAAAATGTTTTAAAATTTGTTTCCTTTCAAGGGTGGGGTCTCTTCAGTGATATTTATCTTGAGATTGCACTTAGGAAGACTTATTGTTCCATATTTGTTCCTCAACCATTTGTTTCCATTATTATAGATAGAAAAAAACAATTGAGACACTTTGTTTAAATGTATGGACTATGGTAGTGATCTTGTATGATTAATAATTGTAACTCCTTCAAAAATCACCTCGTTCCTCCTATCTGTGCCGAATCAGAGATTTCTCCCTGGAACTTTTCTTAGGTTACGAACAGAATGGTTTCTTCGAATTCACTGTATTAAGATTAGGGTAGTATATATGCTAATAAATAGGTCTGTATTTAATGATATGGAAAAAAGGCAGTATTTTGTTATTGTTAATCCTGTTCCCATTTGTATCTAAACATAAAATAGTTCTCAACTAAAGTAGTAAAACATCTCGCTAAGAACAGGTAAGTTCTGCATACTAACAATCCAGTTTAATGTGATGCTATTTGTAAAATAGCAGTTGCATTAACAATTGCTTTAAATAGCTGTTGTGAGCCCAGTGGATTATGATTCTAGTAAAGAAGTAGGTGTCTTTAACCTAGCTCATGTCCAAACTGGGGCTCTCATGTTTGTTATTTGCCTGCAGGAAACGTCCCATATGTCTCAGTGCAAGTTTCCTTCCAATGTAAAGTAGATCCTCAACTGGATCTACTGTTAGCATCTGTTACTTATTTATAAGAAATATGCTCACTCATGCAGCTGCCACCTGATACACTCTTTCCTAAAGCTGTGGTTTTTAATTTCTTTTAGGACTGAACATGTCCCTCTTCTAGGTCTGATGCAAATCCAATACTTTAAAAATGCATAAAACCATAGTTGGGAATGATAAACACCAGCAAAGCCTTCTCATTGGGTGATGAAAAGTGTTAGGAAAATGGAGAGTGGGTTTTTAACCTGACACATTTTGTGTAATGAAGTATATTAATGTAAGAAACAAAAATATTTATTTGTAGGTGATTGCTACTCATATATATAGTTTTTATGTCACCAGAGTTTCTCTCCACATTCGTAAGTTGCAGTAGTTTTTCTCAGTAGCTATGTCATTCAAGTAACACTTTATTGTCTGGAAATCATAGTTGTGAACATAGTTGAGAGCAAAACACAGGCATACAAAATAGAGAAACTATTACATAGAGATCATTCCCAACTATTAAAATTGATGGAACTATTGTCACTAATATTTATGGGACATATGTTTTTGGTGCAGAGTGATTCAAGCCTCTTCTCAGTACTTTTCTGGAGTCTGGTTTGTAGTCTTTCAGAGGAAGATATAGTATATATTATTTTACAACTTCATAATATATTAAAAATGCCATATTGAACACATTGACTTTTTAAAAAATCTTCTAGTGCCAGAAATTTGGAGAGTATCATAAGGATGACCCAAATTCCTTCAGATTTTCAGAAACTTTCTCCCTTTACCCACAGGTGAGTAGAAGAAAGTATGATTAAAATTTGACAAAATCATATTGTGAATGCAGAGTAGTGTGTCTTATGACAGATTAGGAGTGAAGTACAGTAGATACGGTGGATTTATCGGGGAAAAAATCACTGTGACCTGTATTTTGGAGACTCTGAGGCAGGTAACTGGGCTGGTGGAAGTGGAATTGCCTGTCTTCAGTCCTCTGTAAAAATGTTACAGATGAGGAAGCAAGGATCTATGAAAATTTGATAGAGGCAACCACAAGCAGTCTAGAGAGGCTGCCTGAGAAGGGGCAAAACAGTAGGTTACCCTCAGCTCTGCAGCATTTCAGTAAAACTCGATGCAGCATATTTTGTGCATGGGGTCCACTGGCCTTTTTTTTTTGTAATGGGATCTAAATCTTTGCAGAGAGGTTGTAGGTGTTATAATAGAAAATAGAATCTTCTATTAACAATCAGACTGGAAAAGCCAGGCTGTTTTTTTCTCCTAAAAGATTACTTGCAACTTTTCAAGATTAAATTGATTGTGTGAGATTCTGGAAACCGCTTGATTTCATCATCCACTAAAAGATTCATTATGTTTAAAAGTTTGATTATAAGATCTACATACTGAGACAGGATTGTATACATTAATCTATACTGTAGCTGTTTCAAGAGGGGATCCAAAAACATTTCTCATTCAGGTAATATTAGTGCACTGATCTGAATTTGATACACAATTAGCTTTTACGTTTGCTATAAAAGAGTTATGTTGGACTTGTTTTCTTTTGCAGTTTATGTTCCATTTAAGAAGATCTCCGTTCTTACAAGTTTTCAATAACAGTCCTGATGAAAGTTCTTATTATCGCCATCACTTCATGCGTCAAGATCTGACTCAGTCACTTATAATGATTCAACCAATTCTTTACGCCTATTCTTTCAATGGACCTCCAGAGGTATAACACATAGGGAAAAAAAAATCCAAGGGGACAGATTTTGCTTTGTCCTATTTTTTCTATGCATATCTTATTTTTGCTACAAGGGCTCAGATCATTTTTTAGCTTGAAATATATGTTAAGCAGATAAGCATAACATCAAAAACATATGAACTAAAACAACTGAATATGTCTTAATTTGTCACAAAATGCTAGGCTCAACATTGATTGAGGGCTATGGAAAGCGGATTCTAATGATTATCTTCCCCTTCCAAAAATCTCATTTTGCCCAAGGCAAAAGTGGGAACATCCATTATAAAGGATTGCTTTTTAATCATGTGCTAAATGCCATCAGATTGGTATTCAATACTTGCCCTGGCCTGGCCTTTTGGAATTGCTTTTGGATGCTGCTTCCCTTTCCACAGAGGAGCATATCTGAATACTGCTCAGTGTTTTCTGAAGGGAGGACTAGGAGGTTGCTAGCAGATAGTATCAGCTGGCAAGAAGTGAAGCTGCCCAGGGTCTCCTTAGTCGGGTGATGTCTAAATATGATAAAATAAATAAATAAATAAGATACAGGATGTGAGTTCAATGCTTTTTCCACACACTTTACCAGTCTCATTTAAAAAAAAAAGTATTTTGTACTATATTTATACACATTATAAATATAATGTAGGAAAACTTCCAGTCCTCTTATGTAATG